GGCCCCCGCGAGCCTCGACGACAGCTTGGCGCGCTTCGGGACGAAATGGTGGCGGGCACATTCTCCGATGCTTTCTGTAACCACATGAGCTCAAGTGGGTGCGAGCACGGGGGCGCGAGCGTCCAGCAGCTCGCGTCGAGCACGACAGATGCCTTTCGTTGTGCTGCCCAAGACGCTCTCCCGACTCTAGCGAGGAGACCGCGGCGACCATGGATCTCTGACAAGACACTCCAGTTCATAGACCAGAGAGACTCACCGAGAGCGCGCGGGAACACGCAGGAAGAGCGGCGCTTGCACCGAGCTGTCAGAGATTCCGTCCGGGCGGACCGTTCGGATTGGTTAGAGAGCCAACTCGCCTCTGGAGACTGGGCGCCGATACGCACCCTGAGAAAAGGAGCGCAAGCCCAGCAAGGCCGATTAGCCGACATGGAAGGTCGTCTTGTTGACTCCGACCAGCGCGCCGACACAATGGCAGAGTACCTTTGCAAAGTCCAATGGGCAGTGCGGCCGACAAGCGCAGCGCCGGACGGGGGCGCCCTTGGCGACGAGCTTGCCGTGCCATGTGGCCCAATCACCGAAAACGAAGTCGTTGGCGCTGCTGCGCGTATGAAGCAAGGCAAGGCATCTGGCAAAGACGATATCCCGCCAGAGTTTTGGAAGACAATCTGCCGAGCTGGGACGCCTGCCTGCAGATGGGCTGTCGAGCTGTGCAATAAGTTCTGGAGCGACGCAAAAGTTCCAGCAGAGTGGCACGAGGCGCTGGTCGCAACACTATTCAAGAAGGGAGACGTGGCCCAGTGTGAAAACTACAGGCCCATCTCCTTGACGGCCGTGGGCTACCGAGATTTCGCTGCAGTTTTGCTTGGCCGGCTGAAAGCGGGCGGGGCCGAGAGCCGAATTTGGCGAACTCAGTTCGGCTTCAAGTCCAAGCACGGAACAGCGGACGCCATTTTTCTGGCACGGCGAATTCTTGAAAGAACTTGGGCCGAGAAGGGCGGGCAGGTCGTCCTGCTGGCTCTCGACTGGGCGAAAGCCTTCGACAGCGTCTACCCGGAGTCTCTAGCACTAGCTCTTGTTAGATTTGGCGTGCCCGCGAAGTTCGTGGAGGTGGTGCGGGCGATCTACCGGGAGCGAAGTTTCTGTGTGCGGGATGCCGGCTCGACCTCGGCGCCGAGGGCGCAGGAATTCGGCATCAGCCAGGGATGTCCACTGTCGCCCTTCCTATTCGCAATCGTGATGGCCGTGTTGTTGCGAGACGCGAAGGAGGAGGCCGGGCCACTGCTGGACCCCTCCCAGGCGGTGCATGAGTTGGTCTACGCCGACGACACACTGCTTGTGTCTGGCGAGTCCGATACAGCGACGGCATACATGCGCAGCATCGAGAAAGCCAGATCGCAGTACGGGCTACAGTTCAAGTGGCGCAAGCTGGAAGTTCTAGCCGTTGGCTGTAAGCCAGACGGTTCCTGGGTGCCGCAGAAAGAGAGCATTCAATATCTGGGCAGCTTGATTTCGAGCGACGGGAAAATCGGCCCTGAACTCTCCCGCCGACTTGGTGCCGCGCGGGCGGAATTCGACAAGTTGAAGCGAGTGTGGGGCCATTCCACGCTGACGCAGTCAAGGAAGCTGGAGGTGTTCAACGCTTGCATTCTCAGTAAACTGTTGTATTGTCTGCACACGGCCTTCCTGAACCAGGCGGAGACGAAGAAGCTCGACGCATTCCACGTGAGATGCTTGAGGCAAATACTTCGCATACCTCAGTCGTACATTAGCCGCGTAACAAATTCAAGTGTGTTGGAGCACGCAGGTGCTGCCCCACTGAGCAATACTTTGCTGAATCGTCAGCTGCTGCTCATGGGGCATATTGCCCGGAAGCCAGCTGATGACCCGGTCAGGTGCCTGGTCCTACGCCCTTTGTCATGCCAGCTTATAGCACATAACTTCAAGCGAAAACGGGGGCGCCCCGGGAAAACTTGGATCGAAACTGTTTTTGCGCACGCTGTCCGAGCCGCGGGGGGTGAGGAGGCCCTGCCGCTGCTCTGGCAAGATAGCGTAATTTCTGCCGCAGCCTGGCGCGCAACCGTGAAGCGGTATTGCGACGCATTGTAAGGCCACGGCATTTGTGCTCATGTGCTTTGCACTCAGCTTTGTCTCTCTCTAGAGGGACGGGCCCGACTTAAGATGGGGGCCGCCGCCACATCTCCCCTGACACTTCACTCGCATCTCTCTTGGTTGGGCACGCTCCCAGGGCGCCCCATCGTGTGGTGCCATGGGCAGAGCGGACTCGTCACGGCATGTAGCTCGCCCCCTCGAGCCGTTCGAGGCACGCGGGTGCAAACCCGGGTTTGCGGGCAGTCGGCACAACGCCCGAGCCGAAACGGTTGGCAGAGGAAGCGGAGAAGAGGAGAGACGAGGAGGAGAAGGAGGGGGAGGAATGCGAGGACGAGGAGAAGGATTGCGAGGAGGAAATGGGGAGAGGAGGAGCAGGAGCAGGAGGAGAGAGAGGGGCGCTGCGAAGAGAAAGGGAGCGGAACACAAGGTGGAGTACGATGATTGCAAGGAGGAGCATGACGAGCGAGAGGAGGATAATGACAAGGAACAATGAAGGGGAGGAGCGCGAAGAGAAGGCAGAGAATGAGGATGAGGATGAGGAACCAATCGAGGAGACATTGCACCAGGAGGATGATGAACATTCGCATGAGGAATGGGGCGGAGGAGTGAGGTGAGGAGGCAGAGGAGGAGGAGGAGGAGGAGGAGGAGGAGGAGGAGGAGGGGGAGGAGGAGAAGGAGGAGGAGGAGGACCATGAAGATCAGGATGAGGAGGATGAGGACGACGAAGACGAGGAGGGGGAGGAAGAGGAGGTGGGGGGAAACACGAAGCAGAAAAGGGGGATGATATGGAGAATGTGTAGTGGAAGGGGGGAGGGCAAGGGCGAGACGTACAATGACGGCGTAGCAGAGGAGGAGGAGGAGGAGGACGACGACGACGACGAAGAGAAGTTTGACGGCGTCGAAGGGGCAATCGGATCAGGATCAGGAGGACGCGGGAACAACACTCTGAGGAGCCACCTTGGCTAACAGATGCGTTGGGGATTCTGGACGCTGGCTGTGCTCTGAAGATGTGAGCGTCCTCGAATTTTCTGGCTCTCGATGCCCCCAGGACGGCCCATGAGGCCCCGAAGATCTCCCCAAGGCGGCCCCAGAGGGCCCCAAGAAAGCCCGAGAGGCCCACGACGGCACAATACTGCCCCGAAAGAGGCCCGAAAGAAGCACTGGATTTAGAACACGAACGGACATTTCGATCCAAGACGACCCCAGAGACTGCCAGCAGGTCCACAGAAGCTCCCCAGAGGCTCTAGGAGGCCTCCCAAAAGGCCCAAATCAGGCCCTAAGCGGCCCCACGGGCACTCCAAAACTGCCTCCACGAGGCTCCCAACAGGCCTCCAAACAGATCCACAGAGGCATCCAGGAGACATCTGACCTCTGACCCACAGCCTAGGCGCGGTGCCAGACTGGGCCGAAGGCCACTACATTACCTACAACGGGAGAAGCGTGGCGAATGACGAGGCTGATGATAGCGTCTATCGGCAGCGAAACGACGCCTCTGGTTATCCGATGGTGACAGGGCCATGCAGCGAAACCACAAGGGCTGACAACTACGTCATACACCGCCCTTCGGGTGATAAGCAGGTTTGGGGGGAGGGTCATGTTCTACGATTTGAAGCAGGGTTTGAATGTCGACTGCACGCGGTTGTACATTAATTATATCATTCCGACGTGTGCTCGATGTGCATGCGGGTAGCATATCCCATAACATCTATCTTACATTTGAAATTGAATCCCCGTGTGCAACTGACAACCGCGAGACGACCCGCACGACAACGACGTGACAACCCGTAAGACAACCTCGGGGCGACCCACTGAACCATCCACGGCACAACCGCGGGCCAGTAGGTCCCACAGGAGTCGCTGAGACGGCCCCACGAGCTCCCCAAGATGACCCAGTCCCGCCCAACAGCCCCATTCGCATCCCAGGGCTCTGGAGAGGCCCCCAGGAATACTCGCAGGCTCCGATGTCCCCGAACGACACTCAAATTCCACTCCGAAAACTCCTTCCATCGATCGCGACAATCGTAGCGCGCTGCAGACAGAGCTGCCACGGAATTTCCAAGCAGCGGTGGTGGACATGTGCCGCAGCACTAGGTGGACCCATTGGGAGGAGGGAGGTGGGGGTGCAGAGCAGAGCAGCGCCAACAGCCTGATGAAGCGCCACGAGAACTATATACATATACAGGTGTATCGATGCATACATGCATACATACATACATGCATAATTACATACATACATACATACATACAGACAGACAGACAGACAGACAGGCAGGCAGACAGACAGACAGACAGACAGACAGACAAACACACAGACAGACAGACAGACAGACAGACAGACAGACAGACAGACAGACAGACAGACAGACAGACAGACAGACAGACACACATATGCATGCATGCATACGTACATGCACATATATATGTGTACATATATATATATATATATATATATATGTATAGATAGATGTGTATGGGCTTGCCAAGAGCGCAGAAGTGGACCACGTGAGGCCGCGCGAAGCGTCTGCACACGCAGACGGGACTTGGCAGGCCACCTGCCCGCGCCACTGACTGGAAGCGGCAACAAAGTCCGCATCAAGACAGTCGGGAGTGCACGAGGGGAAACGGCGCCGGCCCCGCGTGTCTTGCTTGGTTTTACGATTTTTAGACGAGCGCGTTCCACTTCTCGCAAGGTAACTACTTGCAACTGGCCTGGATCCCCCGCGGTGGATCTACGATAACTTACATCAAAACAGATGCTTTTCGGACGTTTGCGAGTAGGCACTTTGCGAGTAGTAGAACGCGCTCGGTGAATGCTTGAGCGGGGCCGCACGACCGAAACCGACCATGCGCAAGGAACCCTTCTAGCAATCTCCGCCGCAAAAGTGAGGCTCCTCGTGTCGCGGGGTAGCTCCAGGTCACCAGCCCTTTCCTCAAGGCCTCCTCGAGCGTCACGACAGTACCTCGGGGTTCAGGCCCTCCGGCAGCTCGACCTGTTCTGGGATTGAAAAGCGTCAGTACAACTAGCAGGCAGGGAAAGGATCATTAGACGTATTCCAATACTCGAGTTACTGGACGACAATCGAGAACGAGTAATGCGTGCAATCAATGCTCTCATTGCTCCCTCAGCGCGAACACCATAACACTCCGCCCGAGTTTGCGTGCGACAGGGGCGCTGGAGAACGATGCGTGTGATCGCACTGCTGGACGACGCTCGAGAACGAATCGCTCCTTGGACTCTTCGCCCCGCCGAGACAAAGAGGGGGGGAGGCAGGGGGCGGACCTGGGGCACCCCGCGCCGCGCTGGCTCCTCCGCGCCGCCCCACGGCGCGGCGGCGACCTCCTGCGGCCAAAGCGGCCGGGGGCGGCTGGTGGGGGAGCAGGCAGGGGCATCGACAGCACGCCGCGCTGGAGAGGCTATCCCATCAGTGTACTACTGCTGACAAGAGAAAACCACCAGGCGCTCGCACAGACGCCACGGGGTAACACGGAGAGTCCGGTGTTGCCAGATGCGTCTCCCTGGGCTCCTCGAGAGGCCCAGGGGACCCCCCGAAAACACCTCAGGAGGCCCAGAGGGCAACAGGAGGCCGTTTTTCTTTGAATCGGCGATCGCCCGGGTTACGTACCCCGTGGGGGGGGGGCCAGCCGATAGCCTCACCCTCGCGCTGTGGGCAGCCCTGCATATGCCCGCGCCCCCCCTCCCGCGGACCTGCACAACCGGCAGGGTTGGGGTATCCTGGGGGGGGGAGGGGGGGGCAAGCCCGACAACCCGGGTTATCGCCCGACCCAAACAAAAACAGTCTCCAGGTAGGAACACGGAAAACCGACACCAACACCACCAGGGACCACAAGCGGGAGCAGCCACGGAGGGGTCCCCTGGTGGTGTGGTCCCCCCTCTCGCTCGGGACGTCTCCCATCCCTGGCCCGGAGAGGCATCGTGGACCTCCTCGCTGGAGGTGGCCCCCTGGTGGTGCTGGTGTCGCTTCTCCTTCCCCCCTTTATTAGAGGCCTCCTAGATGGGGTCGGAGTAGATGGGGTCGGAGGATCGCGCCGCATCGGCGATACATCGGCGATGCATCGGCCATGCATCAGCGATGCATCGGCGATGCATCCGCGACGTCGGCGACTCATCGGCGACGTCCGCATGAAGCAAGTCGGGCTCCGCATCGAGCCGCATCGGCGATGCATCGGCGATGCGGCGCGATCCTCCGACCCCATCAACTCGGACCCCATCTAGGAGGCCTAGATTTATCCAGGAGCACCAAGATGGTGCGGAAAGCTGGGGGGGGGGGGGCACCTCGGGCCAGGGATACCTTCGGCCTTCGGCCGCGCCCGAGCCGGGAGCGGCCGGGAGCGGCCGTGGGCGCCTCCTCCCTCGCCGCGGAGGACTCCGCGGCCGCGGGCGCACCGCCGGGGGGCGCAAGGCCCGCGGAGCCCCGGAGCCGCGCGCTTCGCACCCGCGCAGCGGTCGGCGGTGGGCAAGCCTCCATTTACAGTAAACTTCCCCTTCATGAAAACGGCCTGGGACCGAAACCGACGGACCTGGACCCGCAAAAATGACGGCCGCGACGCCCTCTCGCGAACCGAAACTGGCCGATTCGCTAATCGACGTGTCAGGATCGGAGGTCTGTCCATCCCCGCAGCTGGGCCGAAGAAGCGCAGGCGGGCGGGCCGGGCTGGCACAAGCGCGGACGGTCACCAATGCGGGCGGTAATTAAGGATCCGAACTCTATACACCGACACTTTCCCCCGCCCCCCACCGAAAAGCGTAAAGAAAGCGGATCCTGGGGTATACGGACCCTGGTGTATACATTTTTTGCTGTCCCCCCTGGGAACTGGGACAACAAAGTATACACCACACCACCCCGACGTCGTCCCCGATCCTCAAGAAGTGCTGGGATTGAACAACAGCCCGCCACTGGTAATGTATATGTTCCAGCTTCCGAAGGATGGCGGGCGGGCACTGACGGGCGGGTCTGGCGGGCGGGCTGGTCGGGATGGATTTCGAGTGTGGAGTCCATCGTCAAGGACACGGGCCCCGACGGGCAGGTCGGGCGGGGTGACCCTGACGGGCGGGCTGGGTCAACGGACGCTAGTGGGCGGGCCAGCCGGGTCGGGCAGGCGGCGACTTTGCGGGCAGGTCGGCTGGGACCGAAATGGGCGGGCGCGTCGGGTCGGGCGAGACACTGAAGTGCGGGAATTTATCTTGCGGGGCCACATCGCGTGCCCGTGGGCCCACCAAAGAAAGGAATATCGAACACGTCTACGGCGAGTCACCGCGCCCCGTGCCCTTGCGGAATGGAAGGCGCTGGTGGCCGATGATCTGTGCAAAGTAAGCTGTGAAAAGAGAGTCGGATCGGCTCCTGGACTCCTGGAGGGGCCCTCTGGGGATGTCGTGGGGTTCTTCGTAGGCTCCCGTGGGCCTTGTTGAAAGCCTGATGCGGCCATCCTGGGGCCCTGTGGGGCCTTCTTGGGGCGCTCTTGGGCCGACTGGCGCTCCTGGAGGCCGTCTTGGGCGTATGCTGGGCCCTCTTCCTTGATCGCCGTCTTGAGGCTAGCTTGTGCCGTCTGAGGGCCCGAGGGCCCTCTTGGGCCGTCCTGGACCGTCTTCGGTCTTCGGGCAAGATGTTGGGTCTGTTAGGCCGTCTTGGACACTCGTAAAAGTTCAACCACGAAGGCAACCGGCCAAACCAAGACACGGCATTTCACACGGTCTTGCTCGGCAGAACCTCCTGGCGGCTCTCTTGGACCGCTCTCGGACTGTCCACCGTGCATCTCGGGCCGTCTTGGGGCCATCTTGAAGGTGCCTTGAGACTGTCTTGGAGGCCATCGTGGCCCATCTTCGCCATCTTGGAGACCCCCTTGAGTCATCTTGAAAGACCTCGTCTACGCCCCTCTAGTGGGCGCTTCCCGGAGGCTGGCGAGAGGAGCCGAGAGCTGGCACTTCCATGACGAGCTTCGACTCGAAGATCAATGTGGTTTTTGTCCGAGTGGCCCTAGCGGCACTGCTTTCCTGAGCCACGACGTAGCTGCGTAGCACGTCAAGCAACCCTGTGGCAAGCCAACTTGGGGGCGAGGATGAAAGAGGCCTACGGCGAATCACCGCCGCCCCCTGCCTTTTAGAATCGCCTATGTGGCCTAACGTTGCGGCCAGAACCCGGCCAAACTATCGGACTACTTGTTCCCCGAACCGTCCGACAACTGCCTGGGCCGTAGCCTGCCGACATCGAGCTCAACTGCTATAAGGACTTCCACCTCCCCGCTGCGCAAGCACTCCAGCACTCACGCTGATGGATTGCATGTTCTGAGCGTGCGTCTTCCCCTGTCCCGCGCGCTCTCCTCCCCCATGTTGCCCTCCGTGTGCAATTCGGCCACGTGCACCCCACGTCAGCCCTAAAACGCGGCTAGGATTCTCGCCACTGCGACCAAACAGAAAGTTTTCCCAGCCGTTGTGGAAACCCTTCGGGGAATACCTGGGGGAGAAAGAAGAAGAGGAAGATAGGGAGGAAATAGAAGGAGGAGGAGGAGGAGGAGGAGGCCAATTGGGAGCCCCTTGGGGCACTCTTGGGAGCTTCCTGGAAGCCTCTTGGGTGCGCTCTTGGGCCTCCTGGAGGCTCCTTAGGAAGCTCTTTGGCCGTCCGGAACGTGTTCCTGGCCTGTCTGACGCAATCAAACGCCGTGTTGGGGGCCTCTGTGGGCCGTCTTGGAGCCATCTTGGAAACCACCGTGGGCATCTTGGAAATCTGAAGGCCGTCTTGGAGCCCTCTTGGGGCCGTCTTGGGGGCCTCTTGGGCTGTCAAGGGGCCGTCTCGGAGGCATCTTAGGCGCTCTTGGGGCCATCTTGGTGGCTTCTTTGGCCGTGTTGGGCCGTCGGGAAGCTGAAACTGTGTAACCGCCACGATCCTGCAAACATCTAAGGGAAATCACGGAGTTTGGCCTCTTCGGGCCTTCCTGGACGTCCTCTTGGATGCCTCTTGGGTAATATTGGAGGCCTCTTTGGCGATCTTTAGGCCATCTTGACCCATCCATGGGGCAACTCGGCCCGTCTTGAAAATATCTTGGGCATTATTGTGCTCTCTTTGGGCCATCGTAGCCGTTTTGGAAAACATCTTGGCCGTCTTGGGCTGTCTGGAGCGCGAAGACCGACGACCTGGGAAACTTACGGGTCCTTATGGGACAGAAATGCCAACGGAGCCCGAAACTTGTACATCCTTCCAGGTGGCCGGCGGGTTGGGCCGAAAGCCCACTGTAACATTCCAAAGAGCCACTGATCATTTAACATCCGGCACGCCATGCACGGCGGATGTAACACCTTTCGGCCCATCCCGCCACTGTGCCTTAGTTGTGGGTCAGAGGCCTTTGGGATTCGGGTCTTTCGAGATACCTCTCACTCAGGGTGCTCGTGCGGGCCTCTTGCAGCCCATTGTGGGCCTCTTCGGGACCCCGTTTGGGTCTCTTGGAGACCTCTTGGGCCATCTTGGACGCTGTGCGACTGAAGACGAAGCATGCGCTTCCCGACAAGACTGAAACGATGTGTGCCTCTTCGGGCCCTCTTGGGGATCCTCTTAGAGCCGACTTGGGGCCGTCCGGAAGCCACGTTGGCCCGTCTGAGACCTATTTGGAGCCTACTCGGAAGCTCCAGGGCCGGGGAAACTCCGGGGAGGCTCCATGGAGGCCCTGGGGAGGCCCCCAGGGGAGGAAGGGGGACTCAGTGTATATCAATGGCGCCTGGTGTGCTTCGGCCTGGGGCCCCGGGGCCGGGCTTCCAGCATATGAAAGATAAGGCTCGGATAACCTCCCGAACACATCCGGGTCAGCATAAAACCGGAGACAACGGCAAAGCATCGCCGACGACGACTCCGACGACGAATCTCCTCCTCCTCCTCCTCCTGCTGCTCTTTCTTTGAAGACGACCAAACGTCGTCGAAGACGACAAAACGGCTGCAGTCTGCGACGTCGCCGACAACAACACGTCGTCGACAACGAAGACGCCGACGATGACGAATCGTCGACGACGTCGACAACGACGAGGTCACGAGAGGTCCCCGGAGGTCCCCAAAGCCGAAGGCCCCCCGAAACTGCTTGAGGCCCGGAAGCATCACGACACGTCCGAAACCACCGATCCTTGAGAGGGCCACCACGACGGCGCCGAGGCTTGCGACTCCGACCTCCTATCTTTTTGGATACTCCGCGTATCCCTGCCCTCCGAAACCTGGTGTCACAGCGTGTGTCCGCCCAGGCCGGCTGGACGGAGCGAGGCCGTGAAGGCCCAGAACGCTCGTCGAGAGCGCATTCCCCTCTTCCTTTCCTCCTCCTCTCCTCCCCTCCTCTGCCTCCCTCGGCCCCTCTGTGTGCGAGCCCACTGGACGGCATGCTCTCCCCCCCGTCCTCTCTCTCTCTCTTCCCTGCCCTTGTGCCTCTGTGTGTGTGTGCCGCCTTCTGCCTCCCTGGCTTTCGATTTTTCCTCGGCTCCCTCTTCTCTCTCTCCGTGGCTCCTTCCTTGCCCCTGTGGTGTGGTGTCTCCCCTCCCCCGTCCGCTGGCCCACCCGTCCCCCCTGTCTGGTCGCCTCCGTCCCCCTCCGCCCTCTGGCCTTGGCTGTCGCTCCCGGCTCCCCGACTTCCTCTGCTTGCCCTTGACCCTCCATGCCCTTGTCTGGCCCGCTGTTTGTGGTCCGAATGGTGTCCAGATGGGCCAGGGGCACCGGCAGTGTTGTGGATGCGCTACCTTCTCTTTGGCAAGCGGTTCTGCTAGCGGGTGTGGCGATACCGCAGGCCCAAGCGGGATTGGGGCTTCTCATCGGTGCCGGACTGCAGCGCAGCTCCTCCTTCTCCTCCGCCTCCCCGTCCCCGCCCATCGTCCTGGGGTTCGTGGTTCGGACTTGTTGCGAAGGGGCCAGCAGAGCCACGGCGAGAGCGGCGAGACGCCCGCCTGGCACCCCGCCCAGCCGAGGCACCCAACAGGAGCGGTCCTCCTCGACCTCCTCCTCCTCCAGGGATTCGTGGTGCCGATTTGTTGCGACCAGAGGCCGGCGGTGCCAGGGCGACGCGCTGCCCGGCACGCCGCCCAGCCGAGGCGCTCTGAGAGGGTGACCCTCCTCCTCCTCCTCCTCCTCCTCCTCCTCCTGCTGCTGCTGCTGCTGCTGCTGCTGCTCCTTACCTCCTCTTCCTCCTCAGGAGTGCCTGGTTTCAGGCATGGGGCATGGCCGCAAGAGAGATGTTTGCAGTGGCACCGGGATGCCGCTGGTGAGTGACGCCGCAGGCTTAGAGACCGCGTGCGTCTACCGAGTTTCTTCCTCCTCCTCTTCCTCCTCCTCCTCGTCCTCTCCTCCGGATCCGCCCTCGGATAGCGGATTTGCCCTGGCAGAGTTGTGATGTTCCTGGCGGTGCGATGCCCTGTCTGAGGTGCCCTGCCGAGAGATCGCCTCCCGGCAGGGACATGCAAAAAAGTCGTCCTGATGGGCATTGCACCTCAACAATTTTTTCTGTGTCGAAGCCCTCGCGCCGTGTTTCTAGGGCCGAGGCTCTAAGGTTGCCTGGAAGTGGCCACTGCCCGTGCGGGCTTGCAGGATTGTGTCCGTGTGAGCGCTGCGCGTGCAACAAGAAACCACGCGCGCCGCTCCCACGCCCACCTGCCCCATCGGGCGCATCCCTGGAGGGGTCACCTTACCTGACATGTGGATCTCGGATGTGCAAGATCGTGCCCACGCGCTCATCAACGTCAGCTGGCTGGAGGCCAGGGCCGACCAACTCGGGGCGGAAACAGCCTCTCCCCTGGCATTGGCAAGGCACGCTCGCTGTCTGGATCCAGCCTCCGACGACGCCTGGATCACTCTCTTCCCCCAGGAAGGCCCCAAACCGGACGACTGGAGCGACGGCGCCTGGGGGCGCAGACTGGCCTGCACCTACATCTGGTCGCTCAACACCGGCACGCTTACCGACGACGGAGCCCCGCCCGACGACGGAGCCCCGCCCGACGGCAAGAGATGGGCCGCCGCGTGCCCGGCACGTCGCTGCACCCAAGAGACCCTGGTAGGACAGTCCTGGAAGTTCCGCGCCAAGAGGGGCGCCCCGCTCAAGGACGCCGACCCCGCCCACCACTGCGTTAGCACCCTAGTTGACTGGCTCGCAAGCCTCGAAGCCGATCTGCTAACTGACGACGTGCTGTCAGATCGGGAAATAAGCAGAAGTGACACAGTTCAGCGACTGCGCCGTCGGACGAGGCCACGCCTGCGCGGGCCACCCACCTTCTACCCAGCGCACAGGCCGAAGCAGAAGAGGAGACCACGGGCACAGCGACTGGCGACTCAGGGAGACTACCGCCCCCCCAACCCTCAGGGGAAGGCGGGGCGTCTGGCCAGGCGCCGGACCCAGGCCCTGACTGGGCGCGGGGGCCTGCGCCGGAGGCGCCACAGACTAGCCCCGGGCCCCCAGTGGACGAAGATCCCGCCCCCTCTCCTACCGGCGAGGAGGCCAGCTCCAAGTCTCCCCCTCGCACCGTGACCTCCGCGCTGCCGCGCCGGCCTGCGGCGACAACGCCGCTCCCCGGGACCGAGGCGGGGCGCTGGGCGAGCGGCGCGACCACGACACGGCGGACACGCACAAGCCGCTGTCACCCACTGACTCGCGGGCGAAACAAATGGCAGCACTTACCCAGCACAAGAGACCTCGTACGCGCGCAGAAGGACACGGGAAGGGGCACAACCAAAGATAGAGCCCCCACGACCATGCCCAGCGGCGCACGGAACGCGCGCGGAGTCCCAACAGCAGCAGGTGGACCAACTACGGCTCCAGCTGGGGTAACGACGGACGCGCGCGCGGCTCGAGCTGAGCAAACTATAGGGCGTGGGGCTACAGAACCCAGGGACAGGGCCATGCCGCGCGCACGACTCCCAGCAGCGAAGCCGCTGGCATGTGGGCACGAGGAGTATGGCGCGATGCCGCCGCCAATCCCCTCGCGCCAACCGGCTGCCGCACTCGCGACGGCGACGGGATGTACAAGGGGCCCGCGCACCTCGTTGAAGCACAGAGTGCGGCTGAGAGCAACCCTGCCTTCATTTAAAGGGTGCAACCCGAGCTCGGATCCACATTCAACAGGGTCTGGCATAGCTGGAAAGCGTGCAAAGCAAGTCGCCCCGGGCTTGTCCCAATGGACCCACGCCTGCCAGAATCCCAGGCCGCCTGCGACGACTTCCTGGCCGCCTGGCGTCTGAACGGCCACGACGCCCGCTCTCTCGACCAGCAGCGCAGACTTCAGACCGACTTCGACGCCCCGCGCAAGGACCTCGAGGCGGACGATCGAGGCAATGCCGGGCGCCCAGGCAGAGGGCTAGACCGCGACGCCTCCGTAGTGCGACGCGGCATGGAGGGCAAACGCAGCCACGGCTGGGACGAACCAGCTACGGACAAGCGACAAGGTGGTAACCACGTTCCACCTCCCCCCGCGCAACGTCCACCCAACGCCCCACCTCGGGCGGTATCCTTTCTTGTGTTTGCAACGATCAGCTGTCTTCCTCCCCTCTCCCCCCCCCCCTCCCTGGCGCGCCCCACGTTCCCGCTACCACGGGTATCCCTCTGTCGAGTCCACCTTGTGCATTCCTCTTTGGAAGCTCTACGAGTGCTTGCTGCGATCAGCTGATTACCACGGGTATTCCTCTGCCGAGGCTGGTCGAGTGCTTGCAGCGATCAGCTGCTCACCATGGGTACTCCTCTGCCGAAGCCTCTCGAGTGCTTGCAGCGATTGGCTGCCCCATATGAACCTCGTTCGGATTGGCCCTGCTAGTATGGCACCGGCTCACCCTGGGGCTTCGCGCCCGTCCGCCATCCACGTGGTGGCCGCAAGGGCTCACGTTGGTTTGAAGGGGCCCACAAACACACAAATAAATACACACAAATAAAAATATTCCCCATATTTTCCCATATTTTCTGGGTTTTTGTCCTCCCCACCACTTCCCATATTTTCGTATATTTTCCTGGGAATCGACGATTAATTGTGTCTGTGTGTTTCTTCCCCTCCTGTTGGTTGTCTGGACGCGCTGGCCCCACCCCTCCCAGCGGCCCGCTGCGCCCAAGGCGACGCGGTCTCTGGCAGGCACTTGCGGGCACCGGCCTCGCTCGGCCCCCCGCCGCTCTCCACCGTCGGGCTGCCCGATCGGCGGCGCCCACTTGCACGGTTCCCGTGCCGCCCCCCCCCCCCCTTTCGGCATCCGGGCCCACGCACGTGAAATCGCAGGGTGTCAACCTGCGGACTTTGAAGTCCTGTCCTTCCTACACGGCAGGGTTTCTCCTTGGATTCGGGTAGGCGCTGGGCTTTCACCTGTGAGCGTCTTCGCTTGCATGGTCAGCTCGTGCCGACCAGCTTCGTTTTCTGGTTCGCGCTCGCGGGGCTCTTGGCGTCGGTTGACGGCCATTTGAAGTTCTACCTGTACGGCAAGGCTGGCCCTTGAGACGCTCGGTCACGGCGACTGGGTGACATTGCCGCCTGGCGCAGTCGCCTGATCCTGCTTGCTCCGCCTCCGGGTGCCGTGTGTGCTACTGCAGGGGGTCCACCTGCGCGTCACCGCTACCCTCTTCGGCCACTTGTTCGCCTTCCTCGCGCCATTGTGGTTGCGTCTTCTACGTGGGCTCACCGGTGTCCGTTCTGTGCGTCCCACTTTCCATTTCTGACTTCTTCGGCATCCTCCTCGCGTTCTTGGGATGTTTCCTGTGCTTCCTGTTCGCCAGCTTCCCGCGCTCACGTGGTATTCCGCCTCGGCACGCTCTTCCGCTGCTGCCCGCCTTGTCGTGACTGCGGCCCGCGTGCCGTCGCCGGCCCTGCTCTTCGCTTCGCTGCCCGCGCGGCCCGTCGTAGCACGCTCGGCCTTCGACCCGCCTTGCGCGCCCGCGAACCAAAAAGTTATTCCTGCCCTCCTCTCGGAGGGCAGAGGACGGGGGAGGCGGGAGGAAGAGGGAAGCGACGACGTGGAATGGCGCCACTCGCCATCGCTCGGACGTCCATTTCTCGTGCATGCCTGGGCTTCGTGGGTGAATTTCTCACAACATGACCCAACATGCTCCTCGATGGTTTCCGCCGAGGAAAAATACACCCGTCCGAGCGATGCCGAGGCCAAGGGGGGGGGGGCGGCGGCGCGGGGCGCCTCCAGCAACTCTGGTGCCAGGGGCCGCTGCGCAGGGTCCGGGCACAACATCCTGCCCCGGGGCTTCGGTGGGGAAGGAAGAGTCGTCGCGAAAATGGATGGCGCTCAAATCCCTCCACCTCCACGCTCCTCCTCTCTCCTCCTCCCTCCTCCTCCCTCCTCCTCCTCCTCCGCCTCCTCCTCCTCCTCCTCCCTCCTCCTCCTTTTCCTCCTCCTCCTCCCCTCCTTCTCCTGCTCATCTTCCACGGCCTCCGTCTCCGCCCACTGCGTCGCCGACGTCGTGGTCCTCTTCGGGGTCGGCGGCACCGGCCGTCAGGCCTTCGCAATCCATCAAGCTCTGCCGCCTGATCACTCCGTCAAGCTTCTGCGAGCGCGCTGATCACAAAACAAATCGATGTTGACCTTATACGGGGACAAACCGCGTGTCCGCATGCATTTCTCTCGGGCGTCTTCTCTAGATGCAAGGTCTGGATTCGTTGTTTTCCGTGAGGGGGAGGAAAGAAGATTTTGAGGTATCTCCTGGAAAATCTTCACGGAAACGATCATGTACTATAGCATTCATGCCTGGAGCGCGCAAAGCGTGTTGAGCCGACTAAACTGGAAGACAGGGTTACACACGATTCTCGAAAACGGCGTAGGCCAAATTTCGACCACAACTGCACCAAGCCAACTGCTGAGCTCAACCGTATCATCCATGGTCGTGCAGAAGTCGACAGAAGACTCTGTAGACCTTCCAAAAACCTCAGCGCTGCGGGGAGGAAGGGCTCTGGCGTCGGAGGAGCAGCACAACGCAGGCTCGACGTTTCGGATGCGTCCGCCAGGATTTAACCTCTGCGAGTCGATTGTTTTGCGGCGGTGGCCGCGGTGAAATTCAAGGACAAAGGGAGAAGGAGGTCCTTCCCCTCCTCCCGCGTCCGTCCCTTCCTTGTGTAAGCCTTCGAAGGGGAGGGGGGCGGGAACAGTGGCGACCACGATGAAGGAAACTCTCGTGATGAAGGCTCCTTCTCCTACGGACATCACAAGTGCCTGAGAGCACCAGCGCTCGCCCGCGACCACCGAATGGCGAGGGAAACGAGACCGCAGCACTTGTGCAAACGCCTGCGGGTACCAGCATGCCCGCGAGCACCAAAACATCCGAAGTACGCCTGCGAGCACCGCGCCGCCGGCGCGCGAGCGCCCGCAGTATAGCAAACAGCCTGCGAACGCCGCATGAGCTGCCGAGGAAGCGCGGGCGCTGAAACCGTGCCTTGCTGCGAGACTGTAGTGCACGAGGGCATGGCGACAGTGTCGGAGGCGCACTGCGGGAGCGCTACGTTATAAAGCGGGAGGCGCGGGTGGCACAACGCGCGCTACGGCCCAGAGGGGTGGAACACAGGCTTCATGCATCACGACCTACTTCGGGACGGGAAAGTTTGGTAACACCTCCTTTGTACAAAGGGGGCTATCATGCGAAGGACGGCCCGCGGAATGACGTAGGAAATCGACAAAACATGGGGCAATGCCGGTATTAACAGAATTGTCAGATTGATTCGCACATCCGAGTCTACAAGGCGATGATTTTTTGAACATGATGACACGTCGTCTGGGCCCCACAGGGCGCCTTCACAACGGCGGAGATCTGGGGCGGGAATGGGGATCGAAAACACCACGTTTTGAAACCGCTTCCAACCAATTTTCAAACTGTCGTTGCGATACGTGGGGGCCAATTTAAGGAGCCTTTAACCACTTCGGGCGATGAGGACGTCGAAAACGGGGGCGGCCCTTCATTGCTGGTGGAATTTGCGATTTTGAAACCAAATCCCCTCGGCAGCTCAATGAGCATCCATCGCAGACCTTTGTGGTCAATCTTCGTTGATGCACTCCGAATAAAAGCAATTGTTAGACCAAGTGCAAGGCGGCCGTCAAGAGGAAATGTTGGAAGGCCCTTGCGTCGCGAATCACATCAGGGTCGCGCGTGCAACATTCGGCTGGGATCGTTTGAAACCCTCGGCGGAGATGACCACGAAAATCCGGCACCGTGATCACTAGACTTCGGCACTGTGAGCACTAATTGTTCGACGTGCGTTTTCGAGGTGACCACTCAATTAGATTGGGTTCAAGACAACGAGCCACATTTAAGGGACACAATTGAAGGGACATGTGCTTTCACGCCCATGTTGCGACTCAATTTAAGGAGCACGGGGCACAGTATAAGGGACACACGTTCAGAGCGCGGCTCCTGCGACAAACGCGAAAAACTCTCCGAGGAAGGAGGCGGTCCCGCCGGAAACCAGTTACCCTAAGCACTCTAGAGAAGCTGGGTCCCAAATGGACCCAAGAAGGCGGGTAGACAACTTATTTTGGCGGAAACATGCAAAAGGACATCTAAAGCAACAAGTTGTAAGGGAACCTCGACGATCCCCGAGGTGGCTTTGAGTGAACGTCTCGGGGAAATTTACCTGGGTAGAGCGTGTCTCTGCTGGTCCTATACATCACCCTCTACGGGCGCAACTGCTTCTCAGACAGCGCCGGCTTGTCGGTCCTATGCGAATGCAACCGCCTGAGGGCGTCACCACCTGGAGGGGCAAACTCGAAGCTTTAGGGAAAAACCTGGATTGGCCTCTTCCAGGATCAAAGCGATCGGAGCCAACTTCGAGAACGGAGGGGATAGCGAACAAAGCACGATATTGACGACAGGGAGGTGGTTCGCCGCAACGCCCCTAGGGTCCTCGAGGGCCTCACGAGTGCCGCTCTCACTCGACAGGCCACGTTGAGAGCGATCGCGCAATTAATGGCTGGACCGCCCCATTCAGCAACGCGCATCCAGTCGGCAAGCTTAAGGCGGGGGTGCGTATGTGAAAAGTCTCAGAGCACATGATCAGCTCATTGTTTTAGAGCGTGCTCGGGAGAAGCAGCACCTGCGAAACATGTCCCAAAATCGCGATACGGTTCCTGTATACCTTCGGGCCGCAAGCTCCGCCGCCATCCTGGCACCAGCTATCGCAGGGCATCGTTCAAAATACTTGCTCTGAGGGCCACGCCACTCTTCTCCCTGCGCGCTAGGTCCGAGCCGCAGTCCGAGGTATCAACTGTATCAGATTTGGGCAAGTCACCCCATCAGGGAATGTTGTGTGTTAACCACTTGTCAATCTGATGTTTCAAAGCACCGTTCAAGGCCTGGCCCGTCGGCGTCAGAACACGCTTGTCGGGCTTCGAAAACGGGTAGGCAATTTCCTCCGCCTCGTGAACAAAAACAGCCCGAATGGAACGCAAGTGCCTGAAACCTCGGACAATCATGTCAAAAACGTCGGGCGCGCGTCCAAACGCCCGCCCCCACAAAATTCAGAACCGGCTTCCGACTGCGGCGGGGGAGCCCTGGGGTGATCCACTCCTTCAGATCGAACTTTCTGAAGGAGAACAGACGGAGCCCGGTTCGGGCGATTCTGCTTGGGACGTCCTCGGATTCTGCCTGGTCTGGCCCCTGCTTTGGCTTGGTTTGACCGCGCGCCACGCCTGAGACATCTTCAAAATCTGCGCGGTTTGGCTCATGGTTTGGCCTGGTTTGGGCCCAGTTTCGATTGGGACGTCCTCGACATTTGCCTGGTCAGGCCCTCGTTTGGCTTTGTTTGGGCCCGATTTCGCCTGAGACGACAAAGACGAGAAGAGAACTCCCGACACAAGTCAGAGGAGTATGTCACATGGTACGACTCTCCGGAACCTCGGGCAACGAGGCGTCACACGTCATGGCCCTCTGCACGCTCCCCGAACAGTCGCCGCCCAAGATGCTGGGCTGGCGCCCAGCGGCAGGACTTGCCAAAGGCAGCTGGATTAGTACTCGACAAGGCTGATTTGGCACCACGTGACCCGAAGCGCATCAAATCACAACTCGGCGCGCACAACTGCCAACCTCCCGGAACATCCTGAGCAGTGTGCGCCGGCAATGTCCACTTAAGCTTGCAGAGGCAGGGGGCAATTCGAACTTTGCCTCGGCGATGGCATCCAGGAGCTTCATCATATCCTGAGGCAGAAACACACACTTGGCGCGTACATTGTCGGGAACGGCATGCTCCCAGAGTCTGTGTGTGAGCCCCCAGGGACGTCGCTGAATTGCAACAAAGCGCATACAGTTGATCTATGACGTCATCTCCAATGTGTTGGCCTGCGCCTGCTGATGCTATCGTGGCCAAGTCGCCAAACGAAGCCCGCACTCTCCGTGGGACGCCCACGCGTAACTCTTCCCAACAGCCGTCCCTGACTGCGGCCTTGCATCATTTGCGTGCCTCTTCCCAAGAGCTACCAGGGCATCATTATGCAGATGTCATCGCGGGTCGCCTCTTGCAACCCTCCCTTTCGGGGAGGTGGGTGCACCTCATACCCCCTCCCATGGGTTTGGCGCGGCGGGCGGATGGGGTTAGAGGGCCCCCTTACGCTCAAGATGGCTCCAAGATGGCCCAAGATACCTCAAGGTGGCATTCAAATTTCCAGCATGCTGGATGCACCAACACTGCGTCCAACATGCTCCCCAGAAGGCCGCGGGATGCACCCAAAACGACCTGAAAGTGTTTCGGAATTTCAAAACATATCCCTTCCGAGGCCCAAATTCTTCAAACTCGGAGAAATACGATGTGTCTCCGTACCTTCAGCACGCAGTGGCGTGCCCAAGGGCACATACACATGTGAGAGTGGACGGGTTGCAAGCTCTCAAAGGACCGGACCACGAATCCAGCCAGCCGTTGATGGCGCAAATGGTTTAGCACGTTTCCTCTTCCAATGCCCATTCTGTCCCCTCGGGCCCCCTCCCCCTGTGTCTAGACGGGGCGCCCCACCGAGACGGCCGATTGAGGGCTCAAAGACAGCCGACGATGGACTCAAGACAACATAACGAGGCCTTCAATACGCCCCAAGAAAGCTCAAAGAGGGTGCCCAAGATGGCCCCAAGAGGGCAAACAGATGGATGCAGAAGTTGCGCTTTAACAAATTATAGCGTTCTCGCTGTTCTGGGCTTCCGTCTCTCCAAGACAGCCCAGCAGGCCCCCAAAAATCGCCCCAAGGAACGTCAGCAGGCTTCTAAGAAGCCCCCGAAATGCCCCCAGGAGACCCCCAGCGGCCGTGAAGAGGCCCTCAGGAGACCCCAGAGAGCTGTTAAAGCGGCTCTCGAGAGGCATCCACGGCCCAGGCACATTGGCGGGTTGGGCTGGAGGCCACCAGGTAATGGTCTTGAACTTGCCGCCTTTTCGCTGCCAGTGGGCTTGCGAGGCTGCAGGTTGGCCCACAAATAAAACCGAAATGCCACGGGACGGCCACAAGGACCTCCAGCTCTTCAAGAGCACCCCAGGAACGCCCCAGAAGAGCCACAAAAAGGCAACCAAATAGAATTTGCATGCATCCGCCAATGGGCAACCAAATTCTTGCCGTCGCTTGGACGTCCATTTCCCGTGCGTTGTTCGGTTTCATGCGTGATTTTGTTGCTCGATGGTCCAGGATGGTCCTCGATGGTTCTGTCCGAGAAAATGCACACGTCCGAGAGATGCCAATAATTCAATATTAACCCCCCTTGACTGGTCTCCTGGATGCTTCCACGAGGGCACCGGCGCCCCCCTTAGCAACCCCCAAGTGAGCTCCAGAGCCTTACAGACCAAAGCCGCAAAGCGAGACCACGTAAAGTTCATCGAATACAATCGGGGCGTTGACCTAAGGAACGATAAAGAAGGAACGAGGCCCCGCATTCCCACAAGTTAAACCCAGCTTTCCCATTGAAAACCTCAGGGAAGCCCAAGGAGCACTGGAAAACAACTTCAGAACACGGAGCCCCTTCCAAACGAAAAGGGTTCCTTCTTCAGCGGCCCGACTGTATGTTTGCCTTCGTGGTGGATTTCTGGAGTCGTCTGGCTTCTCTGCTGCCGCAGCAAAGGAACTTCGACATCAACCAGACAGGCAGTTCACGGTGCCTCAACATGGAGGCCCTTCGAGCTGACCGAAGAAAATGCACGGGAAACGTGCGCGTTGTAGGGCGTGTGCCCTTCCTATGGGTGTTCATACGTGTGCCTCTCTTCCCGATGACCAAGGCAAATCGCCGAAACGTCGCTGCTGGCTGTGCTGGGAAGATACGCGTAACAGCATGATTGCATGACTGGCCACCATCATCAACATGACCATCATCACAAACTAATTCTGGTCCAAAACATGTTGGCGCACCCCGCATCTCAAACTCTTCACCATCCCAATCACCACCACCATCGTCGTCGTGATCGTCACCGCCATCATCGCCATAACCACTGGCACCATCAATGTGAACAGTCCATGTTGATCAATCGGCTTGTCCCTGGGGCAACATCTGGCTAAGCAACGACGCTTCGAACACGTGAAGCTAAAGCAAATTGCAATCCTTTGGCGAAGCATGTTTCGACTCGTCTGCGTGACGTTCGCGACGGCGGGGGGTGCGGGCTTGTGGGGGGGGGGGCTGGAGGGCGGTGATCCCTCGAGAGGGTGTTTTCAAAGAACTCTGGCCCGTGGCTCTCGAGTGTTCTTTGCAGACTGCGGGCCCACGTGGCTCCAACAAAGTTGCCTTGGAAACTCGCTATAAGAAATGAATGTACGTGCACCCATCAGCGAAATCAGTTGAAACGCATGCGTGCTCAGCGATCGCACGCGCACGATCCCAAGACGACCCCATGGCACAGAATGGTCCAGGAGGGCCTGAGGCACAGACGGGGATGATGCCACCCCAGCACGATCCCGCCATGGATTCTGGACCGTCGCAGGCCGACTCGAAGATGACCAACACACATGAGCCACGAGTGACGCCGAGATGGCCCGATGGCAACAAGATGGATCCACGCGCGCCCAGGGTGGCCCAGAATGAACACGCGACGGCTGCGCGATCCAAGCCTGACCGAAACATGATATCAAGATGACCTCAGAACGACCCTGACATTGCAACACTGTCGCAACTTCGGAGCCCCATCTTACTGCGAACCGATCCCAGCATAGCGGGAACCGTGAACGACCCAGGACATTTATTTACCCTACCTATACGACCACCCTGCGGGTGATGAGGAGGTTTGGGGGGGAGGGGGCCAGCAATGGGCAGCAGTGGTGATTGTTGTTCTGACGATGCCAGTCGACATTGTTGCGATGCCGCTCGCTCTTTGGAGACTTGGTACCAGTCCCCCCCCTGGGAACTAATGAACTAATACATTGTTTCGTTCATTTTGCAAGGGCTTGGGGGGCCATTTGGGCGCGTCTTTTTGACCTCCTGGGGGGGGGCTCTTGGGGCCTCTCAGGAGCCTCTTGGGCGCCTTGGTACCAGTGCCCCCCGGGAACCAACGAAATTCGCCGGCCCAACGGGCCAGAGGCGTGCTAAGATCTCCGGTAACTGCTCTACAATGTTTCTACTTCGCGCGCGCGGGGCGGCCCCTGGGGGTCCCCAGACGAAAAGTACCCCGACCAGGTCCCGGCCGGTCCCCGGCAAGGTCCCCGGCAAGGTCCCCGGCAAGGTCCCCGCAAGGTCGGGCCAGAGATGCCGGAGCCCTGTTACAGGGCCCCAGGACGGGCCAAGAGGCCCCCAAGAAGCCTCCAAGACGGTCCAAGAGGGCCCCGAGACGGCCAAAGATCGCCCGAAGACGCCCAACAGGGCCCCAAGACAGCCCAAGAGGCCTCCAAGACGCCCCAAGGGCCTTCCAAGAGGCCTCCGAAGAGGGCCCCAAGAGGCCAAAATCGTTGATTTTCATTGTTTTTTTCGCTGTTTTTTGCGTTCTGGCTTTTTCGGCTTCCGGACGCTCCAAGACGGCCCAAGAGGCCCCCAAGACCGCTCCAAGACGGCCCATGAGGCTCCCAAGACGGCCCCGGAACGGCCCAGGAGGGCCCCCAAGACGGCCCAAGTGCCGCCCAAGACGGACCAAGAGGCCCCAAGACGGGCCCAAGAGGGGCTCAAGAGGGGAACCGAGAACTGAAAAATCGAGCCCTCCGCCCCAGAAGGCGCCCAGGAGGCCCCAAAAAGGCCCCAAGAGGCCCCCAAGAGGCCCCCAAGACGCCCCAAGAGGCGCCCAAGAGGCCCAAAAGAGGCCCCAAGAGGCCCCAAAACGGCCCCCAAGAGGCCCCAAAACTCGGCTAGCCCACAACTGTGCGACAATATGGGCCGGCGGAATGAGCGAAGCGATTAAATAATAAATTATTTCTTCCATTTTGCATGGGCTTGGGGGGCCTTTTTGGCTCGTCTTTTGGACCCCTTTGGGGGCTCTTGGGGGCCTCTTGGGGACCTCTTGGGGACCTCTTGGGAGCCTTTTTGGGCGTCTTGGGGGCCTCTTGGGGTCACCCGGGAGCCTCCTGGAGCGACCCTTAAGAGCCGTACTGGGAGCCTTGGTGTTCAGAGATCGTTGCGTTGCCGCTCGCTCTTGGCACAGCATACAGCACGGGATGTCGATGTGCCTGACGATTTGCTTTTGCATTTGCTTATCGATGTGCATGTCGATTTGCTTTTCAATCCGCATTTCGATCTGCACTTCGATGTGCATCTCACTATCGATCTCACTGTCGATCCCACGATCGATCTCACTATCGACCTTACTATCGATCATACTCGATCGATCTCACTGTCGGTCTCACTCGATCGATTTCACTGTCGATCTCACTCTCGATCTCGTGTTCGATCCCACTATCGATCTCACTATCGATATCACTCCATCGATCTCACTATCGATACCACTCAATCGATATCACTATCGATCGCACTATCGATCTCACTCGATCGATCTCACTATCGATCTTACTCAATCGATCTCACCATAGATCCCACTATCGCTCTCACTACCGATCCCACAATCGATCTCACTATCGATCTCACTCGATCGATCTCACTATCGATCTCACTATCGATTTCACAATCGATCTCACAATCGATCTCACTATCGGTCTCACTATCGTTTTCGCACCAGCGGGACACGGGGATACACGGGGAAACATTTGGTATGGCCGCGCCTCAGCCACAGGAGACTTACCGGGACACCAGCGGGACACCGGCGGGACACCGGCGGGACACCGCGCGGCCCCGTTTGCTGGGGGGGGATCATTTGGCCCGGCCGCGCCTCAGCCACAGGAGACTTTCCTCTCGCCCGCCCACGCAGCTTTGCCTCGCCCGCACGCACGGCACGCACGAACACGAAACCGAAACCGATTTCCAGGTGGGGGGCTCTCCGTTCCACTTCGATCTCACCCCCCAACCTCCGATTTTTGATGGGTGGGATTTTAGCCTGGCTGAACTAAAACTATAATATAAAAGAGGGGTACAGTAGGCAAGATCCCTCCTGGCCCACGGCAGGAGACTACATTGATAGACTTCTACGTGGGTACGGGACTCGGACGGGGCGTCATTTATTTCTGCTGTCTTCCGTAAACCTTCCTACGGCCTTCCGCCGTCTTCCGCCTCGCTTTACTTCTGTCGGCTTCAGCCGGCGAGCGTCGTGATGAAAGTTCAAAGAACTTTCATTGGGCCGACGCACGGATGCCATCGGGCCAAGAGGCGCGAGCTTTTACGCACAACGCACAACCCACAAACACTCTTCGCACATCGCGGCGAACACTCAGACATACCACATGTGCCACAGGCCATACGCATTACTTGGAGAGAAAAGGTCTCAAGTGCGCTGCGCTGCGCAAAATTTAGAATTCCCTCCTGCCGGAACCGCCACAGCCACCCCGAAACATACCTCCTCCTCCTCCTCCTCCTCCTCCTCCTCCTCCTCCTCCTCCTCCTCCTCCTCCTACATACCTGGTACCCTCACCCCTCCCTGGAGAGACCCCTAAACACCCTCCCGTCCCGAAAGTGGGTTGGTTGCATCCCACCCCGCCCCCCATGCGCGCCAGCAAATAACGACGAACACGACAGCGACGACGCTAATGACGACGACGACGACGACGGCGACGACGACTAAGACGGCTCCAACGACGACGACGACGACAACGACGATGACGACGAGGACGACCGACGACCATGATGACGACGCGGGCGGGACAGTAAATGCAGCGGGCGGATCGATCAGGTCCCCGAAGGCGGCGCGCGCCGAGCGGGCGGACCGCAGCAGGCGGGTCGGGTGGGCGGGACCGCAACCGGGAGGGTCGGGCGGGCGAGGCCCTCATAGACGGGTCGGGCAGGACAGCAAAGCGGGCGGGCGGGCTCTCAACCGGTGGGTCGGGCGGGAGGGGCTGCAACGGGCGGGTCGGGCGGGCAAGTCCCAACGGGCAGGTCTCTAACGGGCAGTGCGCCGCGCCGCGTCGCCCAAATTCGCGAAGGCACTGCCCAGCTGGCTCGTCAGAGTGCTGCAAGCTGCTGCTTATCCGGTCCTCAGGGCCCTCCGCTCCCCTGGTCGGCCCAGACCGGGGTCCGTCGCCAGGAACGGCACGGATCCGAAGAGGAACGCCCACAGCGTCACGCCCAGCGCCCACACGTCCGCTCTCCTATGAAGACGCGATGGAGGTGGATACGTCACATGAAGAGGAGGCACGAGGCAGGAATAGCAAGGAAGAGGGAAATGGGAGAGCAATTGTGGGGCAAGGAACGGAACATTCAAGGCTCAAAGGTTGGCTTCGTCCAGCGTACCGCATTCCAGGGGGAGAAGGTTGCACGAGAGGGGGGGGACGGGGACAGAAGGCGGAGGCCCAACCAGGCGTGACAAGGACGACGAGGAAGCCCCTGCCACTCTCCATTAAATTTGATTCCCCCTTGATTCAGAGTTGTTCCTCCTTCCCCGTCGCAACACAGGACACGCGTCGCCTGACAATTCCCCACTGAATAGGATACCGAAGTTTAAAATTTTGATGAGCGAAAATGCCCCTCGCTGAAGGATACCAGGCTTCCGCCACTTATGCATATGACACATACGGTTGCAACAAACTCATGTACAAATACAAACCCGCAACTTCCGGGAAGGTGTTGGCCGAAACTCTCGAAACGTTTGGACCACCCTGAAGCAACAAACGGGCGATCTCAAGGGGTACCCTCGCGGGTGCGACACATTGTGTCCACTCCATACCCACCGCCGCGCCTGCACCGCACCGTCGCGATGGAATGCCAAACAAATAATTGACTGCTGTCTAGTACGGTATCTGCATTCTTCTAACACGCCCTCCTCCCCCTCAAACAGCACACCGCCGCATGCGCCCCCCCCCCTGGACAGCCCTGCTTCCCTTGGAAAGCCATAGAAACGCGTTCCCGAGGCCGCGATCCAGAGTAAAATGCGATGGGCCCGCGCCTTCGAAGGGAAACTGGCCCAAGATGCCTCCAAGACGGCCTTGGGCGGCCTTGAAGACGGCTCTAGATGTGGCCTTTGCCCGGCCCCCAAGCACCAGACGCCCCGAAGCCTCCTCCCCCGAACCCCCAAGCCAGTCCGCAGGCCAAACCGATGAAAACCACCTGCCGTTTCATATCGATACGTACTTTCTGCGAGAAGTCACGCATGAATCTCCGTACAAAGCCAACCGTTGCCGATGTGAGCGGCAGTTTATTTCACCGGCTAAATAGGTATCCGAAGCCCTACCGGGAACCAAAAGCACCAACTATCCGAAAACTCGAACCTCGACCCCCGAAGCTCGAACTTCGAACCGTTCGCGCGGCAGCCCTGGGCGCAAAAGCAACATTCAGGGGTGCTTCCCCACGACGACTGCACCGCGCGAAGCGAGTTGAACAACTTCCAGGAGGCCCTGCGATGCATGCGAAGCACGGGAAGCGCTCCCCGCACGAAAGGCGCGCGCATTGACGCACGCAACACATGTTTTCCGAATTCGACCGCGAAGGGGGGGAACGGGGCTGAACGTGTGGGCAACGCCGTGTACGATGGAATGGCTACAAAGGCAAACGAAACCAGGTCGAAGAGCTACCTGACGGTTCCTACGGTTCTTTTGGCTCACACTTTTACCACATCGTAGATCTGTTGTCGGGATCGCTGGACACTTCCATGTACGTTGTGTATATATACATATATATATATATATTCTCTTCGCACCCCTTGGCCATAGACAGATGCAGGACAATAGTCCTGCCTAAATGCCACGCCAATGGGACACTCTTCTTTCAAGGGGAGCGCTTCTAGTAGTGAAGGGGATTGGCTGCAAGGAACTTGGGGATGAGGGGAATGGCTGCATGCCCCTCATCCCATGTCATCCTTCCTCGCTCCTCCTCTCGTCCTCCGTCCTACCCTTTCCCATCCCTCAGCGTCCCTCTCTTCCTAGCATTCATCCTCATGCTCAATTTGTTTCCTTCCCGTCCTGATCCCTACCTGCCTCCACCTACACCGTAAATCACCAGGGCGCTCACCTAGGAACTCCAAGCCAGGAGATCCTGGGAAAAGACGGCAGCCTGCAAGACAACGCAACGCGGAAAAGGAAAGCACACACACAGATACAACACCGAAACAGAACGTCTCTGGCAACACGAGCCTTCCCACAAATCACCGGCTTCAAAATAGCAAGTACCTCAACATGGCATGCCCGCAACTGACAACGACTCGTGCGTGGGGTAATGACTCCGCGTGGATGGTTCAACCTTGAACGATCGAGGCTTTCCGATAGTACAAATCGTTCGACATCGGCCGATTCCAGGCCTTTGGCGGCGTTCAACCCTCAACGCCCCGCTGGAGTCGACGCCGCGTCGACGTGAAGGGGAAGGAGGTACGAGGTGAAATCGAGAGGAAGATGATGCGAAAACCCTGGGGGTCTCAAAACAAGTCTGCTCTGAATGCCTCTTCGAACAGTGTCTAGCCGTGGCAACCCATCTGGCGAGAGTACGGTCAGAAGTGGAGGACGCTGCTTCAGAGCGCAACGCTACTCATAAGCAACGGGCACTCGACCACTCTCCGCCAAAAGGACGTGGACCGCACCCACCGCGCCCCGCATGTGAAAGGGAGGAGCTTGCGCGCGAAGAGCTCCTTCCGTCGTGGCTCTCGTAACCACTGGCACACATCTCAGGCGAGTAAAAGTGGTAGGTGCCCTCCGTGCCCACCACCCGGAAATCCTCCTGCATGTCGGTGGCAACACCGAAGTCCGCGAGCTTCACCCGCCACTCTGCAAAGACGAGCAAATTCTGTGGCTTCAGGTCCCGGTGGCACACCCTTAAACCGTGTAAATAATGCAAGCCCGACAACGCGTCGCGAACGTAGCACTGAGAGACATTCTCGGAAAGAGCAGCGTTCGTCGACGGGTCGAAATAACGAGAATTCCCAGCATCCCACTCCATCGTGACGCCGCGGGAGGCGTACTCAATCACGAGGTACAACTTGCCCTCGACATCAGGCTGATCGTAGATCGCAAACAGGCGGACGCAGCTCGAATGGTTGAGGCGCCTCATGATCTGTATCTCCTTCGGTGTCAACTCATGGGAGCCTCCCAAGGGCAAGGAGTTGCGAGGGTATGCAAGGATCCCAAGGTTTGGAACCGAGATCTCCCTTGCCGTCGCTCGGACGTCCATTTCCCATGCATGTTTCGGTTTCGTGCGTGTGTTTATTTTCCTCGATGGTCCAGGATGGTCCTCGATGGCTCTCGCCGAGAAAAAATGCACACGTCCGAGCGATGCCAAGATCCTCGTGCACCTTGTCCAGCGAGCTCCTCACCTTCATGGGCTCGCCAGGCTGGCCTCCGTGCGCGCGCCCGCTGCCGTACGTGCGCTGGCGGCGCAGTCGGCCCTTCCGGAAGACCTTCAGCGCGAACTGGTATGTGTGGTCGCTGCCAGGGTTCCCCGGGAGTGGCCCCTCGCAGAGCTTCACCTTCACTGGCCATCGCTCGGACGTCCATTCCCTGTGCTCTTTTCGGTTTCGCGCGTGGTTTTTTTCGCCAAATGATCAAGGATGCTCCTCGATGGTCCTCGCCGAAAGGAACATGCACACGTGCGAGCGATGCCAAGTTCAGGGAGGAGGGACGGGAACGGTACCACGAGCGCCTCCACGGGCCGTACCCGGGCCCAGGTCCTGGTTGCGAGGTGGGGATCGATATTTGGAGGTCGGACAGGGGTGTGGCATAGGCAGGCGTAGGAGGGCGTGGAGTCAATTTAGAAAAGATGGCTATGTTATCTACGATCGATAACATCTTCAGACTCAGCAGTAGCACCACACCTTTTTACACACCACACCCCCTTTCCTACTTCAGAGTATCCGCGTCGGGTGGGCGGTGAGCATGGACATATTTTGGCTCCAGGGGGGCCGACTATATTCATATTAACGGCCTGCTGGGGTCTCTGCAGATCGATCCGCCAGGCGGTGGTTCTGGACAAATCTCCGCCTCGGATTGGTGGCTGTGGCCTCATGGCCTGGCCGAGGACGAGACCCAGCAAGACCTGGACCCAAACACGGGCCCGCGGTCCTTTGGCAGCACTTGTCGACCCCCCTCCCCCGAACCTTCGCATACGCGCCCTCGCCGATCTTCTGAAGGACCCGCAAGCCGTTCAGCAGCTTGGTGCCGTCTGGAAGCTGGGCCTCGCGCCACTGTAGCTCGGGCAGCCACTCTCCCCACATCTCCGACGACGTATTTTTCAGTCCGCAGGCCCCAAAAATCTAGACGCCCTCTCCGGCCACAAGCTTTCGTCCCGGATCCATGTTCGACTAACCAAAGGCCTGACACCGAAGACCAACGCGGCAAGGAACCGTCCACCAGAGGTCTAGACGTTCTGCGAGATTGCCTGACGCAGTGTTTGTGTCGACCTCTGATACCAGCCCAAATCAAATGTAGCTCGGTTGCCATCTGTTTGTGCAGGGATCGCATCATTCCGGAGGGCCCCTGCCATAGCGTCATCGACCCCGGTTCCTGACACCTCGCGGGACGTCAGAAGTGGAAGGCTGTCCGCTCTCGGACCCGACCTTTGGTGGCGCTCAGAACTGTCTAAGAGACGCGGCCCCCAGTGGCCCCCCAGAAGTAAGGAACCGAACTCTATACACCGACGCTTTTTTCCGGCCCCGCACTGAAACTCGCATAAGAAAACGGATCCTGGTGTATACGGGATCCTGGTGTACACATTCTTCGCTGCTTCCACGGCAAAACAGGGAAACAAATACACACCACACTTCCCCGACGTCGTCCCCGGCCCTCAAAAAAGTCCTGGGATTGAAAATCAGCCCGCCAGTGGTAATGTAGATGCTCCAGTCTCCGACTAGCGACGCCGCCCCCCAATGGCCCCCCGACGGTGCTCAACTCTGAACGATGGCGCCAACGTCGACGCAGCGCGAACCTGCCGTGCCTGGGGCGTCCCTGCGCCGCCCGCGCCCTCGGGGCGGCCGAGCGACCCCACCCGAGGTCCGACGGGGCGTGGGAACATGTGGCATCGTGAGCGCGGGAGGTGCCCGTGGGTTCGTTGACGACGACCCAGCGTGATGGACTGCATGAAGGGGCCGTCAGCCAGGGTAGCTTTGTGGATGCCACGACACTTGGCACTCCAACAATCCTATCATGGAATGTAACATGTGTTTAAAGTGTGTAAACATGTTCTAAACATGTTTCAAACATGTTCTCAACATAATTTAAACATGATTGAAACATATTTTAGACATCTTGGCACTAGATTGGCACAATGCTTTTTCTCCGTTAATCGACTTCGACAAACTTAATGAAAGGGGCCATCAGCCAGGGTAGTTAGGATTTGGCCGATGTCAGCCAGGATCAGACCAGATCCGGACAACGGATATCAGAGTGAGAGGGCCGAGCGGTCATTCGTTGTCCTTGGGTGCGCGGCTGAAAAAAGGATCTGTGGTGAGGATTTTGCTTGTTGCGTTGTTGCGTTGCTGCTGTTTGTTCTCGTTGTCCCACCCGTAACCAATCCGCGACCCACCCCGCGACCCACCCCGCGACCCACCCCGTGACGCACCCCGGGACGCACCCCGCGAACAACCCCGCGACACACCCGCGACCCCAAAACGACCCACCCCGCGACCCACCCGCGACCCACCCGAGACCCACCCGCGACCCACCCCGCGACCCAACCCGCGACCCATCCGCGACCCACCCGCGACCCACCCGCGACCCACTCGACCCACCCGCGATCCACGCGCGACCCAACAACGACCTACCCGCGACAAACGTGCAACCGATTTGTGACCCACGCGCGACCTACCCGCATTGGTTTAACGAATAAATCGGCGCCTGCGGCGGGCTCATTGTATAATGTGTGAAAGTTTGGCGCCTGCGGCGGGCTTCTCCAGAGTCTCGCAGGCTGCCGACGTCCCCGCCGCCCCCAACACTCTTATCCGCATCTGCGGGGTGTTACGCATAATTACCAACGCCGATGCTGAGCTCGACATCCCGAAGAGTTGCAGCCGGCTTCACGAATCACGGCCAAAGAGATATCGAGCCCACCTGCCATTGTGCGCGACTTCTCTAGGAGGTCCCCCTACCCGATGGTTCAACTTCCCGAAGACCTCAGCGGAAGATCTGCCGAGCCGCCGGGCAGTTCTGACACGGGAGGCTCCAAGCGAAAACGTTCGCCCATGCCGAACCACCTCCGACGCTCCAGACGGCATGGTCGGCGGTGGGGCTCGCGACCTCCGCTTATTGAGACAGACCAGGTCTGAGAGGGCCCTCAGGCCCGAAGCGAAGTGACACCGCTTGTCGTGGGATCAGCCCGAAGCGTAACAATTCCAACAGGGCCGAACCTAAACGGTGTTCGTTTTCGTTGTGTTCTCGTTCTCCCTCGTTTTGCCGGCCTTTACGAAATCGAAACGAAAACGGCCCACGAAATAGAGAAACACCGTTTCGGTCCAGCCCTGGACCAGGTCTGAGAGGGCCCTCAGGCCCGAAGCGAAATGACACCGCTTGTCGTGGGATCAGCCCGAAGCGTAGCACTTCCAACAGGTACACGAACGGCAACCGAGTGTGCTGATTTGATACAAATCTCACTTTGGAGCCACGCGCGCTGGCCGTTGAAAACAAACGCCGGCGGTCTTCGTCTGCAAAATTCACATCACCCTCGGACGGGAAATCCGGCACGAAGAAAAACTCGAAAGCACGGGGGATCGGATCGCCAATTTGCTGCTGGGGCACAGGCGGGGGGGGGGGGAGCGGGCTGCGCGAGGCCGAGGCCCCAAGGCATGCGGCTGGCTTCGCTGAACCAGGGGATGTGGGATGTTGGTGGGAAACGGCCCAGGGGGCGGGGCCTCGGCGATGGGCAGCGCGGGCAACCGATGCCTCGCGAAAGGGGGACACGTACAGAACGGCACTTAGCGGTCAGGGCGCGGTGCACGCTGGCAGCGCGAGCGGCGGCGCCCGACATGCACCCCGCCCCGCTGGCTAGGTGTAGTTCTATAAGTGCTCAGTTTTGTGGGGAAATCTCCGGCGAAACCAGCGCATGCAGAAATGCACCCAGTGCCTGGCTCAGTGTAGTTCTGAACGCGCTGGATGTCTCGCGCGGGGCGAGCGCGCGCAGACCGGCACCCAGCGAAAGGGGCGGGGCACAGGCCGGGCGCTTCGTCGCGCCCCGCCCGCAGAGTCAGCAAGGCAAGGGCCGCTGAACCCCTGCCGGCCTCCAGGCGGAGGTGTCTGAACGTCCCAGGGCTATCCGATGGAATTCCAACTGCGGCCTCCGCCCACATCGCCCCCCCAATCAGAGCACCTTGCCTGGTGCCTGGTCACTAAGTTGCCCATTCCCGCCCGCTGCCTTGCCCCCCCTCCCCCGTGCTTCCTCCGCCTGCCGCCCTCCATTTCCCTCGGCGTTTCCCAATTGCCCCTGGCCCCTGCGCGGCGGCAAACGCCCGCGCCCCCCCGCAGCTGAAAGACTCGCCTTGCTCTCATCCCCCAATCCACTCGTGAGGCGCAAGTCTTGGTTCCACACTGACACTGGCAAGCGACGTCGAGGCCCCGGCAATATGGCAGGCGCGATCGGCCTCCTCGAATGGCGGGCGAACCAATACGCAAGACGATGTCGCAACAGTAAATTTGGAATTTTGGGGATCCGCACAAGAAGCTAATCCACTCGCCCAAAATGCAGTTCTGCGCCTGCCCGGGTCGAACCCCCCCACGCTGGGCGGGGGCTCTTCCACTGGCCCCCCGGACGGGCAAGGCTCTCGAAATAATAGTCCGGGGGCGAAGCGCCTCGCCAGGAGGCCCCGCCTTTGTCGCCGAAGTTCTTCCGACGCCAAGCCGCAGCTTCCCGCGCGGCCCCCCCGGCCCGGGGAGGGGCCGGTGCTTCTCCCAGAGCTGCCGCCCCCAGCCACTCCGAGCGCTCCGCGGCCAGCCCCCCCCCCGAGGAGCGGCCCCTGGAGGTCGGGGCCCTCGGCGAGACGGCGCGGTCTTCCATCGAGGAGTGGCCCCCTCAGCTGACTTCGCGCTCAGCCAGTGGCGCGGGCTCGCAGGGCCACTGCGGTCAACGATGGCGCGCCTTCCCCCAGGCCGCCCGCCCCCCCCCCCTCTCCCCTTATATCTCAAGGGCTCCTGGGCCCCAGGGGAGCTCGATTCGATCTGGAGATTATGGGATCGTTGGGGGCCGCTCTGTCAGCGCGCGGTTCCCCCCGCGCGATTGGAGGCGACTTCAATCTTGAGCCTGCGGAGTAGCGCGAGCACAACCTCGCGCGCGGCATTGGGCGCAGTCGATGGCGCCGGACGCTGCGACACGCTTGGGGACTGGTGGCCCTCGCGCGGCGTGCGACTACTTCGTCGTCTCGGGGGGCCTCTCCACAGCTGCGGGCGCAGTTGTCCTCTCGATTATGACGCTTTCGGCCCTCGCGCCCCACTGGGTCTGATGTGCGTCGCCGGCATTGCGCAGCTCCGCGTGGCCCGTTTCAGACCCCCCCTGATCGCCGCGGATCCTCCAATCGGTCAGTCCCCAGAGCCTCGGTTGCGCGAGCGGCGCAAGACGTTGCCGGACACGGCCCTTCTTGGGGCACCGACGGGGGGGCGCGATCTCCAGGATGATGCGCCAAGCGTGGCCGATGAGCCACTGGGCCAACACTTCGGTGAAGGAGCTGCGCAATAGCACGGGTTGCACGCGCTCTCCCCGTGGAACGGCGGGGGGGAAGGCTATGCTCCAGAGTATGACGTGTCTTCTTCTCTCAGGCCTTCACTCGTTCAGCTGAGGGCCCCCGCGTTCCTCGAGGCGAGCCTGCTGCCGCGCTGCGCCTCGCCTTGAGCGCCCTGCCTGGGTCTGCGTCGGCGCGCCGAACTGGGGGCAGAGAACCTTTTTCAACGAGCCGCCGTTGCGGCCGGGGCCCGGTCGGGAAGTCCGTCGACCGAGGTCGCGCGCTCGATCGCGATGGCAGCGCGGAACCAGGAAGAGCTAGCCGAGCGCGTCGCCAATTTTGCGGGGCAAGCCTGCAGGGGCTGGGCGGCATGGCTCCTTGAAGGACTCAACCAATGGGCTCGAAGGGCTCATCGGATCTCCCGGGGGCCCCTCTCCTGGCGGCCTCCCAGCGCTCTCGGTAGGTTCGGCGGTTTGGTGTCTGGCCCCGACGGCAGCGACCAGCACGGGGCTCTTTGGAAGATCTGGAAGGCACCCCGCCTGACAGGTGCGCGAAGCTGGCCCCGCCCCCGAAAATGGGGGAGAAGACTGTCCGATCCGCCCCTAGAGCATTCCATCGCAATTATGCAGTTGATCTAGACGGTCCCCACATGCTACCAGCATTGGTCAGAGGACTCCTTGGAGCGCCCGTCGCGGCTCTTCCAAGTAGTTGAATCGGCCGGCCTCCCCCCTTGGCAACTTAGGGCTTCCAGTGCGGATTTGATTCCCAAGCCTGTTCCAGGTTTTCGGCCAATGTGGCTCTGTTCGAGCCCGCGCCGCGTCCGAAGGAGGACCTGTCGCCCGTGGCGCCGGCGCGGGAAGCCCCCCGCGACCCCGACTGGGAAGCTGGGAAATTCAAGTCGGCTACGAGGGCTGTCTGGAGACAACTAATGAAAGCTGAGAGCAGCGCCGCTGGCGGCCCCGATTCAGGGGCCCTTCTGCTGGGATCTGCTGAAACACGGCCAGCAGATCCCGCGGGCGCTGCTGGGGCGAAGGGGCCGCGGGCTTAACTTCGACTCTGTGGTGCTCAGTGTTTGCCAGTGCGTCTACAGATCGTCCAAATGCATGGTCAGACGGGGGGTCGTGGCGCCCGCTCTCCACGCCAGACTTGGCGCGGCAACGGGGTGTTGGGCGACGACGTTCTGATTGTGAGTTTTCGACATCGACGCTTGGATCCGTCACCCCCTGCTCCGGGCGCGCCACTGGACATGTGCTTTGGCGGCGCGGGTCTCACGTCGGAAGGCCCTGTCGACTAGGAGGCAACGATCAATCCCCGCGCCGATGCCACTGCCAGCGTTTCTCGCAAGGTCGGGGGGAAATGCTGAGGCGAAGGCCCGTCTCTCAACTACCTCTCTTAGGAACCGTCGCTCAGGTCGCCGGCACGGAGCGCTGGGACGACGTGCTGCTAAGGTGCTCATTGCTGGTATTTGTGCGGGGCTGCAGTGCGGCTCGGAGTCCTCAGCATGACAGGTGCAAAGGTTCATTGGGTTCGGAGGCTTGCCGCATTGACTGTAGGGCCCTCGTGCGGAGGAAAAGACTCACCATTTTAACGCGAGTTGAAAATAACCCAAGCTTGGTGGAGAAGTGTCGCTTCGATGCTCAGGCAGTGCACGGCGTTGTGGCTGATGCAGACAGCGCGACACAGTTCTCCCTTTCCTGGCCTCAGATTTGTTAGGCTTGGGAGTTGGCCTGGAAACACCCCCCGAAGACTTGCGGATTTGTCAAATGAGAAGACTTGAACGGACTATGCCCGACCGTTCGCCGCGTTGGATGACAATGGTACGAATGATTCTCTTCTCCTCATACTTCCCGCTCTTTTGAAGCGTTTCCTTCAGTCCTCCATCCTCATGGCCCGTAGGTTTGAAACGGACCTTAAGTATGGGATTGAGGAGCTGTATGTTTTGATGTTGTGCTCGGGGCTCTTGCGCCTAAGACGCTGGCTGCGTAGCGAAAAGAAGCGGTTTGTGCTGCATATTGCGAAGCTGTTTGGGGCATCAACCGGAGGACCAATGCCCGTCATTGGTTCGGCCCGTGATGCGAGGAGGACCGGGCTAGACGGGTGGGGCTTCCCCTCAAGAACAAAGCGAGGGAGGAGCGAGGGAACCCATTCCCTCGCTCCGAATTGCTGTGCTCCGCGGAACTTGTTGAGCACCCTGCCGAGGATATTCCAGCGACTCTTTCGCAAGAGACATACCCTTGATACCGCTCATGTTGAATGTGTGTGTTAAGGCCTTCGCCGAGGAAGGCCTCCCCCTGCCGACCCCAGGGGTGAGAGAACTGCCGGGCAGGATTTACGGAGGTGGCTCTTTGTTTAGATCGGTTGTTCGTAAGATCTCCAGGTCCGGATGGTGAGTTGCCTGGCTGGGTGAGACTGGCAAGGTTTTAGCTCAGATGTTCGGGCTTCTGGGAAGCTTTATAAAGTCAGACCAGAGTTGCGGCTGAGCTTGCGTCCCCCGCGAGTGCACCTGCCCTGCCCTGCTCGCTGTCCCTTAGCAGGTTGCGTTCGGACTGCCAGGTCGTGGTTCACGAGTTTGCCCGTGGACTTCGCGACAGGCTGAATTCTCACAGGCCCTACAGCGTGCTTGTGATGCAGGCGGTGTCTCTTGCCCAGGGCCAACAAATGGACCGCAAGGCAGAAGCCAGGGGCCAAGGACCACAAGGTGGATGACGAGTCTCTGCCGGCGTCCGAGCACCTTCACATTCTAGGCAACAATGCTGCGGACACGGAAGCCAAGGAAGGAGGCTTTTTGCCCCCCCCCACCCCCACTCCCCAGGTGTTTGGCTGCAGAAACCGAGGCACTTAAGTGTGTTCTGAAGGTGGCCGAAGCTGTTACCTCCCTTGCTGAAAATGTGATGGACAGATGTCATAAGGTTCAGCGAGTGGACCCCCCTTGTTCCGAAAGATGGGATGCCACCACACTCTTGGAATTTTATGTTGGCAATTCTGGGCGATGTAACGAATGCCTCAAGAGCTCACGCTCCGTGCAGTGCCTTCCTCCAGGACTCCATTGAGCTGTACCAACATGCTGCGGATGGACCGAGGCGCCTGCGAGAGCTCGGTCGTAAGTACATCGTGGCCGATTGCTGTGATGGGAGCGTCGTCTGTTTCTGTCAACTCTTTCTTGTACACCTCATGAGAGTAATTGGGAGGACCGGGGGACCCTCCGTGCCCTCTCGGCTCTCTCTCTCTCTCTCTTTCTCTCTCTCTCTCTCTCTCTCCAGAGCGTCGGATCCAGACCGTGAAAAGAAGACGTGGTCTGCGGCCAACGCTCTGAGGAAGGAGGTGTGGTCCAGGCCCTGCAATAGCCTCCATCCCAAGCGATCGGGGGTGGCGGTAGAGCTGGACGGAATTGCCACCTCTTCGGCGGCTCTGCGGCTGCGGATGTAAAACAAATCCTTCCCGCTCTTTCTCCTCGACCCTGCATCCTCGATTATCACTCCTCCTCGTCCTCGACCCCTACCCATTTTCAATCCCCCCCCCACTTCCTCCACCTCCTCCTGGAGCCCCCTTTCCCTCCTCCCCCCCCACCTCGATCCCCGTTGAACGATCCCCCCCCCTCCCCTCAACGGAGTGGGCCTGCCTTGTGGACGGCGGTGGACTCGACCACCGCGCCAGCGGCGGGAGGCGGCGCTGACGAGGCCGCGGCCGGCGAGGTGCCAACGAGGAGCCCCGGGCCGCCGCCATCGCCGCGCATTGCCCGCGTGGACGCGCGGCGGAGCCGTTCCACCCGCGCGCGCCTGCGCGTGTGGTCGATCACTGTCACTTGGTCGGGAGAAAGGAGAATGGAGGCCCGCATCTGGAGCTGGTCCTGGGGAAGGGCTGCGCTGTCAACAGCAGCGCGACGGCGGGTTTCTGAACCGGCGCACACGTACAGACCCTCCTGCTGGACCAAGAGAGCATTCTTGTTTCCCTCGATGGCGAAACTAGCGGCATGTAGGTAAGATACATAAGCCAGGTCGCATGACCAAGCGTCTCGAGCAAGGGCCCTTGGCACGCTCCGCGCGCTAGCAAAAAATACGTACACACAATTCGGCTGTTTCCGAGACTTTGGAAAAGCCCGCCGCAGTCGCCAAAGCTTCACAAATTATACAACGAGCCCGCCGCACGCGACGATTTTTTCGCTAAACCAATGTGGGTAGAACGCGGGTGCGTCGCGGGTGGGTCGCAAATGAGTCGCGGGTGGGTCGCGGGTGGGTCGCGGGTGGCTTGCTGTTGGGTCGCGGGTGGGTTGCAGGTGGGTCGCGGGTGGGTCGCGGGGTGGGTTGCAAGTGGGTCGCAAACAGGTCGCGGGTGGGTCGCGGGTGGGTCGCGGAGTGGTCGCGGGGTGGGCCGCGGGTGGGTCGCGGGGTGGGTCACGGGTGGGTCGCAAATGAGTCGCGGGTGGGTCGCGGGTGGGTCGCGGGTTGGGTCGCGGGTGGGACGTGGGTTGGCTTGCGGGGTGGGTCGCGGAATGGGTCGCAAGTGGGTTGCCCGGTGGGTCGCGTGTGGGTCGCGGGTGGGACGACGACAACAAACAACAACAACAACAACAACATCAACATCAACAACAACAACAACAATTACTAGCACGTGGGGACACTCCGTTCTCACCAGTGCCAGGGTTTTCATAGGAGGCGGGCAATACCCCCACTTTGTGGGGGGGCCGGTTCAAGCTCTACCAAATTTCCAAACGACTCTTCGCCACCACCCACACCCAGCTTCCCGCCCTATGACGTTCGGACACCTCACTTCGTGGCCTGCGGACGACCTTGGCTACTACACTGGCGCATGGGTACAATGACTTGTTGTGGTAACATTTTCTGTAAGCTAGCTTAGTATACGACTTTTCCCCCTGCAATTGAAGATTTCGGCGTGCGCGCGCGAAGAAAAAACGAATGTGTCCCATATGGTATTATTTGACAGGGATGATGGCCCTGGCAGGCGCGCAACCGTTGTTGCAGAAGTTCGAAGCACGTGAAAAAGTTGCTCGCAAGAGCCCGTTTGACAGAAATGTTGAAAAAGTATTGGGTTTCCTAAGAAATCCGCAAGAGCGCGCGGGATGAATTTTTGAAACTTTTTTTTTGAAAAACCATTGGGTTTTTCATGTTTTTATGTTAAAATCGCTACGAAAACTGAGGTTTTGGAAGGATTTCATCTTGCGCGCGCGAGTGTGCACTTCGTGCCATTTTTGCAAAAGGATTCTTGAAGTTTGGTTATGTTAGAACAAGACATGTCATTTTATATTGTTGTTTGACAGGGAAAGCGGGCGTCAACAAAACAACCGGATCCGGACTCCCCCGTTTTGCCTGAGACTTCCTCACGAAAATGATGAAAATGTGGCTGCGGCCTAGGCGCGGCGAGGGGGGCGTGCACCAGGGGGCCCAACAATAATTATTCTTTAGAAGTAATAATATTCAACAACAACAACAACAACGACGACAACAACAACAACAACATCAACAACAACAACAGCAGCAACAACAACAACAACACCAACAACAACACCACCAACAACAACAACAACAGCAACAACAACAACAACAACAACAACAACAACAACACCAACAACAACAACAGCAACAACAACAACAACACCAACAACAACAACAACAACAACAGCAGCAGCAGCAACAACAACAACAACCACAACAACCACAACAACAACAGCAACAACAACAACAACTACAAAAACAACAAGGTGGACACTGCACCTAACCCCCCGTTCACCGGGCAGCTGGGTCAATGCTTGTCCTTAAGGACAGCCCTTGACCGAACCCCCCGTGGTCAGCCCCCCCCCCCCCCCCCCAGCAACCAGCAACCAGCAACCAGCAAGCGGACCTCAAGCTTCGCATTGGAAATCCTCTGGGCTCCTTAAGGCAGCCCATGCACTCCCGCGATCTGAAACCATGCGCGCGCCGCCGAGCCGACCTCCGGGACGCAGACTCCCTGTGGAATCCTATAGGATCCCTAAAGAAGCCTGTAGAACTCCTGGGGAATCCTATGGGTTTCCAAGGAGTCCGATGGGATCCCTGAAGGATTTTTAGGGGATCCCAAAGAAACCGATGAGAATCCTATAAGAATCATATAGGATGCCTAGGGAAGCCTATAGAAATCCGATGGGATTCCTAAGGATCCCTAAGGAGCCCCATGGGATCCCTAAGGGATTCCCAAGGGGTCCCAAGGAATCCCATGGGAGTCCTACAGGAATCCTATAGGATCCCTCAAGAAGCCTCCAGAAATTCGACGGAAGCTCATGGGATTCCTACAGGTGTCCTAAGCAATCCCATGGGATTCCTAAGGGATCCTGTGACACCTCATGGGATTCCTCAGAAGGCATCCCTCGGAATCCTAGGGAATCCCTAGGAATCCAATGGGATCCTTACGAATGCTAAGACATCCCGAGAAATCCTAAGGAATCCCGAGGAATCCCATGGAATCATAACGAATGCTAAGGCATCCCTCGTGACCCTTGGGAACCCATAGGAACCCGATGGAATCCTCACGAGTGCTAAGGCCTCCCTAGGAATCCGAAGGAATCCTTCGGGACCCCGATGGGATACTCACGCATGCTAGTGCGTGTTTAGGAATCCGATGGAATCCTAACGAATCCGTAGGAATCCAAAGCAGTGCCTCGGAATCCTGAAATATCCTGCGGAATCCGTAGGAATCCCCACGAACCCGTAGGAATCCCAAGGAATCCGAGAGAACGCCTAAGACTCCTAGGAATCCCTAGACATCCAAAGGAAACCCTAGGACGCCGAAGGATTCGGTAGGAATCCCTGGGGATCTTTAAACATCCCTCGGACTCCTGAAGGATCCCTGGGACTCCTTAGGGTTCCCTAGGAATCCTCCAAAATCCGCGGCCATCCCTAAACATCCCTAAGAGACCTAAGGAACCCCAAAGACTCCCAAAGAACCCTTAGGACTCCCGGGGAAACCCTGGGAGTCCCTTGGATATGCCTAAGACTCCTGAGGAGGCCCTAAGGAATCCCAAGGAATCCTGACGGATCCCTGGGACTCCTGAGGAACCCCTAGAACTCTTTAGGAACCCCTAGGGCTCCTTAGAAATCCCTGTGCAGCCATGGGAACTTTTGGGGGGCCCCTGGGGCTCCTTAGGAATCCCTAGGGCTCCTTAAGGGATCCCTAGGACTACTCAGGACCCCCCGGGACTCCTAAGGAACCCCTAGGACTCTTAAGGATTCCCTGTGATCCCTAAGGAATCCTGAGAAATCGTTTTGGGGATCCTCAGGATCCTGAGGAATCCCTGGGGCTCCTTAGAAATCCCAAAGGTACCCTGTGTAGGTTACGTATGAGTGTACTGCCCCATCGGCAGCATGCACCTGCGCCTCGTCGGCAGGAGCCCCGCGCCAAGCCGCGCTGCTGCTGCCGCCCGGAGCAAGTGGGTCTGGGAGGCCTGCCAGCCTTCCGCATAGAAAAGGTCGCCAACTCGAGTCGGCAGCGCGTGGCGGAACCGACAGGTGCGCCAGGTGCGCCAGGTGCGACAGGCGCGCCAGGTGCGCCACGCGCGCCAGGCGCGCCAGGTGCGCCAGGCGCGACAGGTGCGCCAGGTGCGCCAAGTGCGCCAGGCGCGCCAGGTGCGCCAGGTACGCCAGCCGCGCCAAGTACGCCAGGCGCGCCAGGTGCGCCAGGTGCGCCAGGTGCGCCAGGTGCGCCAGGTGCGCCAGGCGCCCCAGGCGCGCCAGGTGCGCCATGCGCGCCAACTGCGCCAGGCGCGCCACGTGCGCCAGACGCGCCAGGTGTACATGGTGCGCCAGGTGCGCCATGTGCGCCAAGTGCGCCAGGTGCGCCGAGTGCGCCAGGTGAGCCAGGTGCGCCAGGTGCGCCAAGTGCGCCAGGTGCGCCATGTGCGCCCGGTGCGCCCGGTGCGCCCGGTGCGCCATGTGCGCCAAGTGCGCCAGGTGCGCCATGCGGCAGGTGCGCAAGGTGCGCCAAGTGCGCCAGGTTCGCCATGCGCGCCAAGTGCGCCTGGTGAGCCAGGTGCGCCAGACGCGCCAGGTGCGCCAGGTGCGCCAGGTGCGCCATGCGCGCCAACTGCGCCAGGCGCGCCAGGTGCGCCAGGTGCGCCAGGCGCGCCAGGCGCGCCAGGTGCGCCAAGTGCGCCGGGTGGGCCAGGTGCGCAAGGTTCGCCAGCTGCGCCAGGTGCGCCAGGGGCGCCAAGCGCGCCATGTGCGCCAGGTGCGCCAGGTGCGCCAGGTGCGCCAGGTGCACCAGGTGCGCCAAGTGCGCCAGGTGCGCCAGGTGCGCCAAGTGCGCCAGGTGCGCCAAGCGCCCCAGCCGCGCCAGGTGCGCCAGGTGCGCCAGGTGCGCCCGGTGCGCCAGGCGCGCCAGGTGCGCCAAGTGCGCCAGGTGTGCCGGGTGCGCCAAGTGTGCCAGGTGCGCCAGGCGCGCCAGGCGCGCCAGGTGCGCTATGCGCGCCAACTGCGCCAGGCGCGCCAGGTGCGCCAGGTGCGCCAAGTGCGCCAGGCGCGCCAGGTGCGCCAGGTGCGCCAGGTGCGCCAGGTGCGCCAGGTGCGCCAGGTGCGCCAGGTGCGCCAGGTGCGCCGAGTGCGCCAGGTGCGCCAGGTGCGACACGCGCCCCAGGCGCGCCAGGCGCGCCATGCGCGCCAGGCGCGCCAGGTGCACCAGGTGCGCCAGGTGCGCCAGGTGCGCCAGGTGCGCCAGGTGCGCCAGATGCGCCACGTGCACCAGGCGCGCGGGGCGGGCCAGGCGCGCCAGTTGCGCCATGTGCGCCAGGTGCGCCAGGTGCGCTATGCGCGCCAACTGCGCCAGGCGCGCCAGGTGCGCCAGGTGCGCCAAGGGCGCCAGGCG